GTGTATATGGTTTATATATTAAACATGCGCAGATAAAATAAAAACTTATTTGTATCCGATATTTACTCCCATCTTATAAAGACATAACACATAACTGAAAATATAATAAAATTAAATAACTAAATCATAATGAAAAATTAATTAAATATTTAACATTACAATTCATTTTGACGAGCATAACTTAGTGGATCTAGTTAAAAGCGGAAAGATTCATGAGTTGTCCAACTCCATTTGTTATTTGGGCACCATTTTACAATGAGAATGTCCAAACTAAATGAGTCAAAGGCAGCCCAAAATTATAAGGAGTGGGGTCATTTGCACTTATGCTATGTTGCGTAAAAAACATTTACAGATCATATAATATTTCACAAGTTATGTTTAACGCCTCTAGAGAATTATTTCATAATATTTCACAAATTATGTTTGACGCCTCTAGAAAATTATTTCATAAGCTATGTTTGGCGCCAAGAAGTTATGTTTTGGTAGAGAGGGTCAATTTGAAGAGTAAAAAGTTTAAAACTAGCCTATGTGAAGAGTAAAAATTAAAGATCAATCTATTAGAACACAAATCATGTCATTAATGTTAAGGAGAGTGATTAGGACCTAACTAATAAACATTAAACTCACTTGGACATAAACAAATTAAATTACGAAATTACAAAACATAATCAAACAAATTCTTCCACGAAAAGAGGTGTGGCAACCACAGTGGGGTTACCAAGTCAGAATTAGTAATCAATCATGATACCATGTCTACAAAATCCGTAAATTTTTCATTTCCATTTGTTCCTCACTACTTATTAGTTAAAAAGGAATAATTAAGGTTAATATGCTAATTAAGGTGATCATATATCTAACTAATTAGCAAAACTAGGTTCTTTGTACAGGAATTAGAGGTGGCCTGCTGCTCCTGCTTATAGAAGAACTTGGCCTTTTACTAGTATAACAAGATGATAAAAATGAACTCCTTGAAGCTTTCTTGAACATGATTGGCTTAGGAAGTGTATATGACTTGTATAACGACTTCTTCATTTTCCTATTACAACGATTTTCCTTCTTTGGAAGATCTTCTAAACTTGTAACTCTTCCCAAACACGTAAATGACTCCGATTTCCCATCATAATACTCCGAAAGTCCTTTCCTACATTCACAAATCTTCACATATTACAATACTGATGTTATACTATCAGTGTATATAAGTTAAATAATTTCAATTTAAATCGCTTACTTGATTGGCAATTGAGCCATAAGAGTCGATAAATCGGACAAAGCCCCATCCGAAGATGCATCATCCATTGTCTCTAGTGAAGAATTACAATTTAAAATCGAAATCGTTGACGATGATTCTCCGATCGACGAAGACGATGGACTATTATTATCACCTTCATTAATCATCCATGAAGAACAATTTTTGTTCTCCAAATTATTACCACATTGAAACCATTTATCTTTAAACATCTCAATATTGCCATCACCCATTTTAGGTATACTAAGAACAAGAAAAAAGTGAAAAGAAACAACAACTTTTTGGTCGATTAGGATTTAGGATTGGGAAAAAAACATGGGATTTTTCTGAATGTTGAGGAAACATATATATAGGTGTCTATGCATAAGAAGATAATGTGTGGATTTAGTTAATTTTAAAGATCTAGTACACGTGTCAAGAGTTGAATAGGAAGGGCAGGTCTAAAAAGTGGGAATTCTTGATAAATGAAAAATAAATAATTCAGAATTGAATATGTCCTGTCTGCTTGCCTTATCCTAATATTCGATATTATCTTCTTTTATAGTTGGTTGGTTTCCAATGAATGCCTTCAATACCGAGGATAAACATTATCATTTTATTTACTGATTTAATGCCTAGTATAAATATTTTTTACGTTATTATCAAGTAGTAATTTTAATTTAATATGACACGTAATCAAGCTTTTTATCTCCAATTTGACTCCTATTTTTTCTTTTTTAGGAAAAAGTTATTATTTAATTTGTATCTATTTATAGATAATTGAATACTATAAATTAAAATTCCTTTATATTATCGACCCATAAAAAGTGAACTTATCGATCATTAGTATGAGTTAAGAAGATAGAATGGGAAACCATCCATATACATGTCACGGTGTCAGTGTCTGTCTTGGTCTCTTAGGCCCTCAATTGGGATGACATATATATTTGAAAATTAAAAGATAATTCGGTACCTAAAGTATTTTGTGTTAAATAGGATTGAAAAAAGACTATCTAGTTAAAAGTGTAAGGTTCTAATGCAATTATTAGTAATTGTATTTATGTTCGAATTCATAATTTATAAATCATATAGAGATAATTTTATCATTGCTTGAAGATTCTTTATACATTAAAAAAAAAATGTAATTTAATTATTGTTCCAAATTCTTATCAGAAACAATGGTTCTACATCAACTGATCAACACCACTGACTTGGGAAACACGAGAGGTATTACTTTAGTTCTTCTTTGGAAACCACTCAAAATATGATAAAATATAAAAGATGGGAAAATTATATATCCCTCATAAAGAAAGGAATGTTAAATATCTTACTAATATTAATGAGGGTTATAAGTTGTATATACATTTCAAATTAAAATTATAGTCTAATTTATGTCATTAAAGTGTTAACACATCAAAACTAACTTTTAGCTATAATATATGTACAGATTAACAAAAGTGTTAAAGTCATGACTGCCATTAATTATTTGTCATTGGATGCAATATCATTATAGACTTAAACACATTTACAAAGAATGTTAATTGTCACTCAAAAAACATACTCCCTCCATTTCAAATTAAGTAATTGAATTGTTGAGACATTTTTCATTTTTCAAATTAACTTAATTATTCAATTTTCAAGACTACTTTTAGAATGTTCTTCCAATTTTAAACTTCATTAGTTAGTATTGGAATTAGTTATTATAATTAATGTTTAGTTATTTTAATCATAAATTTGACAATAATTAATAAAGGTAAAAATAGAAAGTTATGCCTAATTTATGTCTTAATTTTCTTTTCTTAAAGAGTGTGAAACACCTCAACAATTTAATTAATTTGAAATAGAGGAAATAGTTAATAACAATTAAGTTATTGCCATTAATTAGTCACCACTAAAAATTTATTTTTGATATTACGGATAAAGTTTTTTAAGAACAAACAACGATACTTGAAGGGAGCAATATATTCTCTTAAAAAGAAATGGGTCAGCATAACGCTTACCACTTTAACTTAAATAGAAAAAAAAAAAGTGGCACCTTTTAAGTATAATATTGATGTAAAGATGTATTTAGTAGTTATATAATTCGTAACTTCTTGAATCTCAAAACGTTCTTGTTCTTCGATCTAATCATATTAATAACTCAATCAAAATAGTTATCTACAAAACAATTAAGAAGTCTTGTAATACTTATAAATTTCTTTGTTTGATCCGTATATGTGTGTTTTAATTTGAATAATTTTTTTGTCGACAAGTTGTCTGAGGCCTAACCGTTTTATTAAATCTAAATATAAATATTATAAGCCGGTTATCTACTTATATCTTTTGTGTTATTTTGAGATTTTTTAATAAATAAAAATATAATCTTTACTTAATTTAAATTTTGTTTTCATTTGTAAAATGTTGCAAAATCACTTTGATTCTTTAATTTCTTGTATAGATATAGATAAGGATGAGTAAAAGGACCAAAATATATGATCAGCTGGTTGACGCAGCCACTAGTTTTTAAAATACTTTGTATATATCACCGCCCAACATTGAGACTCATCACTCACGTCTTTTCGATAATTTCCCATGCTTTCTTTGGCATATATTGTTGATTATTAAATGATGTTTAATTTGTCGGTGTGGAACTATTTCTTTCGTAATCTGAAGTCTTGGATTTGAGTCTTAATGATAGGGCTAGAGTTATGCAATACGAATTTAAAATAATTGAACTTTAATATAGATATTGAACATCAATTGAGAAATCAATAAAAAAAAAATGATGGTCAATTTATCTTTTTAAAAAAATAAATAAAATTTTGATTTCATTGTCACAGTATATAAATGTTAGACATCAAGGTTGATTTATATGGTTAGTGTTACTTTGTGCTGCGACTGCGAAGAGCACCAAGTAGAATCATCAATAAATTATGAGTACTTAGCCTCAAATAAGTTTTAAACAATCATGTATTGTCTCATCATTATTCAGGTCCGAAGAATCTAAACAAATACTTAGTTTGCAGGATCATTGAATATTGCTTCACAAGTTAGAATGTGCAATTACATGTATATAAATACGAACTACACCATATATATAAAGTCACAGTCTAAAATCGTACATGTTATAGTTATTCGTTCCAGCACTTTTTGGAGAAGAAATCTCAAAGAATCTTCACGAACTTTGCTGGAATTGGAGAAGGAAGAAGGAGAAGAAACAGAGGAAGTGTCTGTTCTTTTGAAATTGTAGAGAATGAAAAGATACCTTGGTTTCTCTCGTGAGAATCCTTTTATAATTCTAAAGTGACCAAACTATTCAAATAAATATATATCTATTTTCTTTATCAAACACATCTGGAGAGAAACAAATGAGTGTCCTGACTTTCTGGCAAACAAAGGATACAGTATATAAAAATGGTCTTTAGTGGTGGTTTATTAGAGATATTAGCTTAATTGTCACTGGATATTTTTTTTTAGAGGCAATTGACATTCTTTCTAAATATCCCTAAAAATTATAATGATATTAGATCTAATGACAATTAACTAATATCAATAAAATATTTAACACTCTTTATTAATATGTATATTTATTACCGTTAAAAATTATCTTAGTTATAGTGACACAAGCATGTTAAAGATCTAATAATTGGAAAATGCGGTCAAGAATATGAAGTTCCTTTCTTAAGACTATAATCTGTTTGAATCTTTTCCAGTGTACCATTTTTATTTTATTTTTGATTCTTTTGCAACTCTTCAAAACATAGGAAAACAGTTAACTCAAAAAAAAAGATCCAATTAAAACATCTTTTTATTACAAAACGTGGTCTCTATAAAAAGTCTCAAAAAAGTGATCAATACACAACACTGCTTCTTTCAGTAAACTATATAACTAAATTTATAACAAAAAGGAAATAGTAACTTTAGGCTAGTTATTTCTTTGAGGGGAAAAAAAGAACCTCTAGTGACAATACAATCTCCAAAAAATACAAAAAAGATTAATTATGAAATTTCAATAACCCTGGTCAATGAGGTAGTCTCCAATTTTCTCAACAACCATGTTACACTGTCCTGGAGTCACTGGTTCTTCGTAGATACCAAAAATCAGCGATTGGCCTGTTTTCTTGATTGTTATTCCACCAGACCCCTACACAAAACACGACTTCAATTAATCTATTACCGTTAATTAGTTGTATCAATTTTTTATGTAGTGGTAGTTACAAATCTAACCAAACTTAGTAATTGCTCTAGGGCTTTTCAGAGCAAAACATTTACTAGCAGATTTGAATTGATTTTGATGACAAGAAGAGTAACAATTAGGGGAGTGACCCGGAATTTCCCATCACGAATCCAGTCAGGCTCCAACGTGGGTACCGAATATCGGGTGGAACCAAAAAAAATAATTAAGGGAGTAGGGTAAACACCTTTTTGCCACGGATGACAGCGCCAGGTTCTCCTTGGATGACCATGTACTTTGCGCCGCTAAGGAATAGCCCAGTGGGAGCAAGAAATCCAGGTTCATCAAAATCTTTCATGATATTAATAATTTCCTCTGGTTTAAACTAAAACACAAAACATACAGCACATTAATTAAACATTTATACTCAACAACAACATCATACACTTACCATAATGTCAAAAGCTATAACTATCAACAAGAACGCATGCAACATTATTTTTTAAACCCAATTCATCAAGCAATTATCATGTTCGACCATAACTTCAATTGTTATCCCTGGGCCTTGGTATAGACACGATGTTGGCATTACCTAACAGTTCGATCGCTCCACTCCTTTTAACACTTATCACACACACTCACACAGTATGTTGATCCAATAAATCGAACTCACAACCTTTATCATAATGTCAAAAGCTGCTATTAGCAAGGCACATCATTATTTCTTAACAAAGTCTATTAAGCAATCATCATGTTCGACTATGATTCTCATTTTAGGACAAACAATTAACCAACATAATCATCAATGATGGATCAAATTTCACTACGAAAGGATAGATCCATTTCCGAGAGATGTAACATTGATGTGAAACGAACAGATCCACAAGACTAGAGAGTAGTTACTCGATAAAATAACTATTAGCCAATTGATCCAAATATCACCATTAGTAATAAAATTCACAAGACTAGATACCATATATATACTCAATAAATTGTTATTGTAATTGATCCAAACATTACAATTATTAAATAAAACATTTCCACAAGAGTACTACATAACACATACTCGATAAATTTGTTATGCACAAATTGATTCAGACATCATGATTATATAAAAATAACCTTAGGGAAGGCGGGGCTTTGAGCCCAAACGCTGCCATCAAAGCCGAGAATAGCCGCCGAGGCGAGACGATGGCCATCAAGGTCGCACATCAAGTGATCATCTACATAGGTTTGCCACGACATTTTGGCTACTAAAAAATGTTGTTTTTGTTTTTCCCTAATTAGTACCTAATTTGTTCTTGAATAAATTTTAACAATTGAGGCTTTGCAAAGTTGAATGGAGCAAACGGGGGAAGAAGAGTATAAATAGGAAAGGTTTGCAAAAATTGGGAACTCACTTAGGTGTTGGTTTTGAGGAAGAGAGAATGATGCGGGGTGTAACAAACACACAGCCGGATCTAATTTTTTTTACTAGATAATAAATATATATCTTAACATATATAAATATAGAAAAACTACTTTATAAGACATACTTCACTATCATATATACTTACTTTATCTCCAGTTTAAGAGAATTACACATAATACCACTTTTAATATTTATATCATATATTTTCAATGATTTTATTTAGATACACAAATCCCTTAAATTATGATATTGAATAATTATCTTAAAATTTAAATTTCTTATTAATGGTACATTAGAAATTCAAATTATTTTTTCATTAAAATTTAAACTCCTTATTTTCTCATTAAATTTGAAATCAGATTGTTTTGTGAGCTTCTTGTTCCATAAAAAAAGGTGTGCCGCATTGCAGATGTTCTCTCCATTGAATTCACAATACAGAGGTAAGCTCTAATCTACTAATTCCTCAATGCAATAAAGTGGACCTCGACACCACCATCTATAACATACCTCAACTTCAACAAAATTTCTACTTTTTTTTCATTATTCTCATGTATCTTGGTTTACATCATGTTAATGTATTTGAAATAAAATTTATACTGCTGTAAAGTTTGATTTTATAAACTTTTACAACGTAGGTTTTTTTTCATTGCAAGGTCTTATTTTATAAACTTTTACAAATTAGGTTTTTTTTCATTGCAGGGTCTTCATCTGCGAACATTCAAGCCGAAACTTTAAGATACAAATGAAGGAATTGATGAATAAATATTGTATTCTTTAGAATGGCTTTGTGATAGATTATTATTATGTGATTTTATAAGCTTTTGCTTATTTGATAAAATTATATAAAGTATTTGGGTAATTTGAATAATTTTACAACTTATGAGATTTTTATCTATATGAAAAAACATACAATAGAAAAAGTCCAAATTATATGTACAAACAATACACTAGCAATGTATGTCAATTCCCCTAAAAAAAAATCTACTAAATACCACTAGCAAAATAATATATAGCTAATTGTAACTAATATTGTGATTTTACTATTCATAACAATCTAGTAATTAGTATACTTAACCCAACAAGTCTTGTACATACTACATCAACAACAAAAGGGGATGGGGAATATATATATATTTAAATTAAAAGGCAAAGTTGGTACTCCTTTTTAATAAGAACAACTTTCACATATAGCAAACATAAAAATTATATTTGTATGTTATAGCTATAGTTTGCATAATTGCACTCCATATCAAATTTTATGTTTGCTATGAAGCTTTTGATTTGTATAATTCGCTACAAACATCTAATTTTATACAAATTGTTCAGTTTTGTATAAATTTATTTATACATTGTAATTTGTATAATAAGATCTGTATTTGTATAATTATAAGTGTATAGGATGAAAATATATGTATTTGTATTTGTATATACACTTTTCTCTCGCTTTATACAAACAAAACACGAAATGTATAAAATGACTAATTGTATACTGAAAATAGCTAATTGTATATTGAATCAGATGGCAAAAAAAAGGACTGTTTGCTGCAAATTACAATTAAAATAGACTATGGCTATAAAATTTAATTTGAATTAATAGTTTGCTATTTCATACAATTTTCCCTAATTACGTTAGTTCGTTGATTGATTAACTTATGGATTTACCTCCCTAGACACATGATTATTGCCAGGAAACCTGCAATTGGAAGATAAGTCCAGCACAGGCCCAATATAGGCCTCCCTCATACTTGTAATTTGTAGTAGCCGTAGTCTTGTAACTTATACATACCCGGCCCACCTGTATACACACATAGTATATATCCCAACATTTTGCATTCTTTGAGTTTGATAATAAAGCTTTTCTGTCGCAAGATATTTTTAAAATTAGAGTTCACTCGTATAAATTAACATCATATAATTCACTATCGCGTTGTCTATTCATTTACCAACGAACCTTATTAGAATGCATAATAACTAAAAGAATGGTTTTTTCAAAATTTGGGCAACAGCCAATTGGAAAGCTAAATATTAACTCATGAAGGAGCTTTTACTATTGACACCATACTATACTTATAATATATTCACCTTCCTTCTAGATAAAGAATGGTAGGAGTAACGCTATGCCAAAAGTGAGGGGTAAAAAATCATCACCTATAGATATTTTTTTATAAACTATATCAATATTTGTACAAGTGAGAAAATTATAATAAACAAATCACTTCAATACACAATATATGATTTTATCTCAGGTAAGCAAATGCATAGAATTCATATCTTATTGTTGGAGTTGAATTTTGTATTAGTGATGATAGTGGAGGTAAATGGTTCAATTCTGTTCAACTTTAATAAACAAATGAAATTTTGCAAAACAAAAATGTGGGTAGGTGAAACCACTATCTAGATTATAGTATTAATGGACGATTTTAAAATCTTTATTTTAAAAAAAAGTCCATAATTCAGCTGTCTGGCTCTCGCGTAGTTAAAGATGGACCAATCAGGACAAGAGACAATTTCATTTAATTTGACATATCACATACCGGTAACCACTACATATTTAGTTGTCTTCTTATGTTACTTCTATTTCCATCACAATTATTAATCTTTTTCTATGTTTTTATATATATATATATATATATTATATTATAGAGGATAGAAAATGTGGGGTGAATTATTGCAGACAAATTAAACTCATACGGCCAACTCCTTAATATATATATATATACTGACTATTATCACTTGATAAACTTAAATTTTACGTTTAATCAATAAATTAATAAAGTAGTAAAATTTTAAAATTTTACTACTTTATTAATTTATTGATTAAACGTAAAATTTAAGTTTATCAAGTGATAATAGTCAGTATATATATATATATTAAGGAGTTGGCCGTATGAGTTTAATTTGTCTGCAATAATTCACCCCCACATTTTCTATCCTCTATAATATAATATATATATATATATTATATTATAGAGGATAGAAAATGGGGGGGTGAATTATTGCAGACAAATTAAACTCATACGGCCAACTCCTTAATATATATATATATATATATATTATATTATAGAGGATAGAAAATGTGGGGGTGAATTATTGCAGACAAATTAAACTCATACGGCCAACTCCTTAATATATATATATATATACTGACATTATCACTTGATAACTAAATTTTCGTTTAATCATAAATTATAAAGTGAAAATTTAAATTTTTAAAGTTGTAATTTTTTAAATTTGGAATTATATTTTGGCATAATCCCTTTGAGACTGGAGGTCTAAAAATCCAAAAACTAATCTAGCAACTAAAAAATGTTTGAACTTTAATATCTGATCAAATTTCATGTTCGATTAAAAGATATTTGAAGATAAAGTTTTAAAATTTATGACCAAATACTTGGTGTATTTGACATTTAATTACTGCCTGTCTTAAAATACTTGTCATATTTTTTATCATTTACACACCCTTTAAGAAAACATTAATTAATTAGGAGGTTTGTTATTTTATAAACTTATTTATGCCTTAAAGATATAATTTCTCTATATTAATTTTCTATTAATGTGGCATAGTTGGGCAACTTGTAGTTTTCAAAAACAATACTCCCTCTATTCAGTTTTACTTATCCATTATTTTCAAAAATAGATTTTAACTTTTACTCGTCATTTTTAACATATAAAAAAAGATAATTATTATATTTCATTGTTTTACTTTTAATATTAATTACTTATACACACAATATTTTTTAAGACTTAATATTAAACCTTATAAATTAATAGAAATAATATGATAATTTAATCATATCAATTTATTATTTTCTTATTGGATAAGTCAAATCCAAATATGACAAATAAAAATAAACAGAGCAAGCAATTACTACTAAAGATAATAAAAAAAAAAAAACTTATCCTAATCTTTTAAACGAATATTTTTACCAAGAAGGACAATATTTTGAGAAAGAGAAAGTGTATACGTACACCGTACTATACCTGACAAATCATACTATTTATTTTTTATGAAAACTTTTCAACATCTAAACATATCACATCGCACAAAGCAATTTCTATAATCGTTAGGTAACAGTTGTCATTTTTTATAACCAAAAAAAGAGAGTAATTTCCCCCTTTTTCATTAGTGTACTTTTATTTACTACTTTCTTCGTTTTGAAAAAGAATAATCTACTTGACTTTTTAATTTGTTCTTTTAAAAAAAAAGATTTTTTCTCCTTTTTTGAAAAAAATTAAATTCAGATCATAAAATTTAAAAATCTTTTTTATTTTTTATACTCTCTCGTCAAACTAAGTTTTCGTTTTTTGAAGGAAGGTACTTCGTTGCTCAATTTAATTAATGCGTGGTGATGTGATCCTCTAGAGTCTAAACTGAAATAGGAAAAAAGTAGAGATGTGCGTCTTTTAATTTAAAATTAATAAAAAAAAGGAACATAATTAAAATATTGAAGGAAGTCGTTATTTATAGCAAAGTGATGAGGATTAGGAACAGTGAGCTTATAATATCTCAAATGTCAAAATAAAAAAGGTACCCCACCTTTGTTGATTAAAATTTGGTTAGAGTCAACCTATGTAGTACATTGGGTCAGGGAGTTTAAAAGTACGAGCTCCAACGTTTTTTCCAATAAGATCACTCCATTGATCTCCAATATTACCAACAATTCTATATCCAGCCTTCACCAATGCTGTTCTCTTTCTCGATTTAAATTCCACTGCTGATCCCGAATCATTTTCTCCCCTGTAATCACATAAATTAATAACATATAGTACTATGTGGTAATAAGAACAAATAAAGTGAAAATAAGAAATTTGGTTACTTTAGTATGAGCGCTGCCCAGTTGGTATAACCAGCTTTCTTGAGATTAGCAATCCTCACTTGTTTGAAATTGTCTCTGGTCCCTGTAATGAAAACGGGCTTGATCCCCAAAGACAACACAATCTTGTATAGACCCAGTATCGATGGAATGGCTGGCAATTTTCCCTCCGCGGTCCACTCATTAAACTTTGTAGCGTTGTACGCTATAGCTCTGCACAAAAATGCATTGGTTACTCATTTTGCAAAAAATAAACGCTAGCTAATATACGTATGTACCTACTAGAAAAAACGTAACATTACCCAAAAGCAACGTCAGATCGAGCGTAGTAAGGAGAATTTGAGAGAGTGGTTTCATCAATATCAAATACCCAAACGTCCATTCCATCTCCACTAAGTTTGAGGCTTTTGGCATACTCAATAGCCTGCTTGGCTACATATTCACAGTCGTGGCGATATTGTTTGCCTAACATGTAATGACCTACATAGTTTGTACATTCTTTAGGCACCAATTTCCAGTTTTGGAGGTTGTTCGTCTCCACCGCGAGTCGCCAGCTAAGACAGTCCAATTGTGGGACGGTATAACCAGCAGAACCAGTTTGTGGCCTTAGACGGTGAATTTCTACTACTTGGCTTATCACCTGATGATCTTCCTCATTAGAGGCCAATGCCACAGCTACTATAGCTGAAAATAACAAGAGAATAGTGAAACATGACCTCATTTTGATGGAAGAGAAGAAAGAAGATGTTGTGACCATATACCTAGGATAGGGTGTCTTAAATAAGAGCCTCAATCTCAACTTCCTAAAAATCAATCAAACAGCTAGGTCATCACGTTTTTCACAACATTTGACAAGATAAGCATTATGTGGTTCTCTTTAGAGTTTTTGTTAAAAACTTTTTTTTTCTTTGTCATTTACTTTGTAACTTAGCGCTTGTACTCCTCTCGTTTAAAAAAAAAAAAAGAGATCTGATTTGACTTGTTACGGAGTTGAAGAAAAATAAAAAAGACTTCTCTATTTTGTGATTTAAAATTAAAGTTATGTGAAATGTGTCAAAAAAGGAGAAAAGATCATTTTTATAAAAATAAACTAAAAAGAAAAGAAAGTCATTATTTTTTAAACAGAGGAGAGGAAGTACTTTTTAAAAGGTCTGGTTTTGGCAAATAGGATTTTCATTTTTCCAATGTTAATTGTATTAGTTGAAATATATATACTTTGAATTGGAATGAAGACTATTTGGCCAAATCGATCACTGAACAATCCAAAACCCTAGAATTTGGTCCTGGGTCCAGAATACACCAAGATATTTTGGCTTTCAATTAATCGCATTAAATAACCATAACAGTCGATACTATATTGTTTAACAGGTGTGATCCACATGATCAATTAAGTTGTATTGAAAATTTTAGGGCGGGCGAGGTATACCATGTCAAAAATATACTATTGAGGGTCCATTTCATTATAACTTCTCTTTTTTTTCTTTCTAACAATACTTTTTAAATTCTCCTTTTATGTATTTTTTTTTCCTTTCTCTTTTCATATTCTTGATTTTTATTTGACAAAAATTACATAGATATAAAAAAATTAATACTGATTCAGATTTTATTTTCTTCCTTTTTTCCTGCGCCTTTTTTTTATTCTTGTTTTTGTCAATTTGATTGATTTTTTGGAGTTCATAATTTAAATAACTTCAATGATAAGTACTATACCGATATAAAGAATATATATATTCTTAGAAAAGCAAATACATATATATCTTGTTTAGATTTCTCTTCTTTCTTACCTAGAGCTATTAATTGTTATGAAGCAAATTATAACTATAGATCTCTAATTAAGTATAAACTATAGTCATTTTTTCAAGTTCTTTTATTATAAATAATATATATATATTTAATTTAATTTAAAAATCAATTTCAATTTATTTAACAAATGATTAATCTGTTTATATTTTTATTTTATTAATGAATAATATTTAATTAATTAGATTTCAATTCCTTTTTTAAAACTGAAATCATCAGTTACACATATTAAGGGATTTACACAGATTAGACTTCCTTGTTTAATGTTACACTCCAAACCTCCCATACCTCAATCCCACCACCCTCCATCCACGCCTATTCAAATCTACACGCCATCACCCCCACTACCCCACTTTCACCTTGTCTCTCCCATTTTTCTCACCAGCCAACTACACCATTTTCACAATCGTCCGTCCAATTAAGTTTTCAACAAAATCATGTCTAAGAAACCCATTGAAACGCCTCGAAAGAGTTCCAGATTGGTTGAAGGAACTTCTACTGATGAAGTTCATGCTCCAACTTTTAATATATTAACTCAACCCCCCGCCTAAATTTGTTGAAAATCCGGCGAGTATTGAAAATCAGGCAACGGGTGGTTCATCTCAGTTGAAGGATCGGAAAGAGAAAAAAAATGAAGCAAAGAAAAGGGCGATCCAGGCAAATCAAAAGGGGAAGAAGAGGAAGGGGAAAATTATTGAAACCCTTCTGATTACGATTCTGATTTTGCTAGTGAAATCAAAAAGAAAAAAGAAAAAAAAACAAATGTAGAAGTTGCTCAATCTTCAAAACCATCAACAAGAAGAACAACAAAAAAGAGGAATCAGAAATATCAACATCCAAAAAACACAAAAAAAGTTGTTAGGATGAGTACTATATTTTATTTATTTTCACAGTAGTCAAAATAGTGATTTTTTTATATCACATTATGCTTATTGTTGTTTTCGAAATATTTGTTTGTGTAAATATTGTTCGAAATCTGAAAAAAATGTGTATGAATCTGAATTTAATGTTGGATTAATGGATATTGTATGAATTTTGATACAATATTGATATGCAAATGGTATGAATTGTATATTAACATTGATGTGATTATCTCTTAAATTGTGTATATGGTATGAATTATTAAATTGGTATGCAATTTGTATGAATTGTTTAATTACTCTGTAATTTTGAATAATTTTTATATGAAATTGGGATTTTTCCTATTAAGAAGGTTTCTTTTTCAATTTATCCATTAATGTATTAAAATTGTTAAATTGTTTTTTGTGTATGTCGATAAATTTATGAAAGTAGATTGATGAATGTCATAGTGCACATGAAAATGGTATGATGTTTGAATAAAATTAGTGTGAATTTTACTACTTGTGGCCTTAGACGGTGAATTTCTACTACTTGGCTTATCACCTCTTCAACATTAGAGGCCAATGCCACAGCTACTATCGCTGAAAATAACTAGAGAATAGTGAAACATGACCTCATTTTGATGGAAGAGAAGAAAGAAGATGTTGTGACCATATACCTAGGATAGGGTGTCTTAAATAAGAGCCTCAATCTCAACTTCCTAAAAATCAATCAAACAGCTAGGTCATCACGTTTTTCACAACATTTGACAAGATAAGCATTATGTGGTTCTCTTTAGAGTTTTTGTTAAAAACTTTTTTTTCTTTGTCATTTACTTTGTAACTTAGCGCTTGTACTCCTCTACGTTTAAAAAAAAAAAAAAGAGATCTGATTTGACTTGTTACGGAGTTGAAGAAAAATAAAAAAGACTTCTCTATTTTGTGATTTAAAATTAAAGTTATGTAAAATGTATCAAGATGTTCTTTAATCTTCTAGTATTAAACATGTTATGTGAAAAACTGAAATTAAAATGTTTTCAAAAAAAAGAAAAGAGTCATTCTTTTTAAAACAAACTAAAAAGAAAATGAGGTCATTAATTTTGAAACTGAAAAAATACCTTTTAAGATGTTAGGTTTTGGGAAGGAGGATTTTCAGTTTCCCATGTTTAATATAATATAAGTTTGTTAAGTAACGTTCTATGTTAATTGTATTAGTTGAAATATATATATATATATTGGAAATTGGAATGAAGACAATTTGGCCAAATCGACCACTGAACTGAACAATCCAAAACCCTAGAACTGGGTCCTGGGTCCTGGGTCCGGAATACACCAAGATATTTTGGCAATAACAGGTGTGATCAATTAAGTTGGATTAACATTTTTTAAGGTGGGCGGGGGCATACCATGTCAAAAATATACTATTGAGGGTCCATTCCCTTACTTCTCCTTTTCTTTTTTTAACATCACTTTCTAAATTCTCTTTTTATGTATTTTTTTTCTTCTCTTTTCATAATCTTGATTTTTATTTGACAAAAAATACATAGATATAAAAAAAAAATTAATACTGATTCAGATTTTATTTTCTTCCTTTTTCCTGCGTCTTTTTTTTTTTTTATTCTTGTTTTTGTCAATTTGATTGATTTTTTTGTAGTTCATTACAATTTGAACATGTAAGTTATCAATATTTTTATTAATTATAATATTTTATTATATAGAAATTTCTCATTTTTATATTCGTTTTTTAAAATTCTTTTGCTTCAAAATTATATGAAAATTACATTAAAAAATTGTTTACAATTCCAATTTATCTTTTACTAGTCATATATTAGTATATTAGTTTCAATGAATATATTGTATAGAGGTGTAAGCTGTGTACAATTTTCATAATATAAGATGTGTATAAATTTGATTTTAAAATACAAGTATATGCTTGGAAAATTTGGTCATCTCCACTGTATACGTTAATTAAGATGTTGGTTTACTAGCTAATTAATAAAATCTATTGAGCCTGATTAAATATTTGTTATTGTCATGTTAATTGTATATAACCACCTAGTTATTTACATGCAACAGACTGATGATATTTTAGCTGACAAAAAAATATATGTCTATAAATAAAATAGGGAAAATTACGCGGTTAAACAAACTTATACTATTTAATTACTCATCATAGCTATAGTTTTGCTATAATTATCACTCACGACTAACATTATACATTAATTATGTGGGCTGACTACCAGTTTGTATATTAGTCACGTTTGTATATGTATAATTCGCCATATTTGTATAATTCGCAGCTAACAATTCTTTGTTTGATTTGTATTTGTATACGATTGTTTATAATTGTATATGACGATGATATCCTTTGGGTTTTCAGTTTTGTCATCATATACATTCAATCTTTTTGTGTATAACTTTTTAAAGTTTGTATAAACGTGTAGTTTTTGGATTTTGTATAATATAATTTATATAATGTAATTTGTATAATATATTTTGTATAAATGTTTAAAAGTTCATATATTTATATTTGTATCAATTTGTTATTTCGAGTTTTATTATATTTGTATAAATTCCAGACTTTATATTACTCAATTAATACAAAAACAACGTGAATTATACAAATGAGATGTGAATTATACAAATTATTGTCCTCTCTCGCTCACCTCTCTCCTCCCTCTCCCAGTCTCGCTCGCCTCTCCCCCCCTCTCCCAATCTCGCTTGCCATATACACAAATGCATATGTATAATATACAATTATCTAACCGATGTACATATACAATTCACCTCTCTCCCACTCTTTGCCCTCTCTCGCTCGCCTCTCTCCTCTATCTCCCAGTCTCGCTTGCCTCTCTCCTCCCTATTACATGTAGCTACGAATTGTAATTATCAAACTATAGATATGGAGAGTAATTGGGCTATTTTTGAGTGGCTATATGCGAAAGTTCCTCAATAAAATAAGATGTTAATTGTGCGTTCACTAATTTTAAAAAAATGATCTTTCGCGTAATTTATTTACGACAATAGTTTAATTGCCGCTAAATATATATTTCAATTTATCGGTAATTAGCCCTGTGTGTAAATGTCCCTAAAGCCTATAATGACATTGAATTCATTGACAATTAA